CTCAGCGGCCGGGTCTGGCCGCCTCGGGCTCTGCCTCCCCCGCGCCTGGAGCCACCGGCTGCAGCATCTCCCTGGGCATAGTGTGACTGATGAGGACGCTGGAGGCGCTCATCCCAAGGGACCGCTGCCCTCCCTTTTTTCTCTCCAGCCCGAGCTTGCGACTCAGGTTCGCGAAAGCTGGCGCCCGCGGCCGCTACTCACTAAGCTGGGGACAGCTTCAGGACGGACAACGCCGTTAAAGGCCTCGGCACCTGACTCTTTGCAAGTCCAGGACCTTTACGTGATCGGACGGTTCTGCCTGGTTCCTTCCCCTACATTCATGGGACCCTTTCTAGGAGACAGGAATGTCACACTTGGACATTACTTTGCTGGGAAATCGCTTTTTCCTCCTGTCTTTGCTATGTGGTATCTATTCCCGTTCTTCTGTACGGCCACTCGTTGGGGGACAAGGGGTGAGGAGAGGATGAGTTGGAATCTAGCCTGTTTTGTAGTAGTGTTTTTAATTCATTGCATGTAAAGTGGATCTTTCTTATACCTACATAAATTAGTTGGCAGAACTTGAAATGATTTGGGCATCTAGTTAAGCTGCGTTTAAAGATACTCGGGATATTTGATGCCGAGTTCCTAATTATGGTTTTTGCCTTTTCTCCAGAATAGCTAAGCTCGGTGTGGAGAAGGGTGCCCCGCCAGGATCTTAACTGGTCAGACCCAACTGAGGTCTGTGCTTTGGATGGGCAGCCTTAGGAAGAAACCAGACGCTCCTAGTCAGATGTTTCATGCTTATTGAAAAAATATGATCTGTGAGGGATGATTTAAATCACTACTCTTTACAGAGAAAAGCTGGGAGGGGGTATCACTTATACCTTCTTACTTTAGAAGGAATCCTCTGCGCTTGTTTTTGAGACCTCTCTGCTTCTAAAGTATCTCACATTCATTAAAAATACACAGAGAAGCTGGGCAAGGTGCACACTTGTAATCCCAGCACTTGGGGTGCCAGCGGCAGGAGGGAGACACCCTCCATTCATTCTTTCAGGCCCCTAGTCACCCAGATGTCTCATCTTTATTGATAAAATATGATCATTGAAGGATGATTTAAATCAATTTTGGTTTTTACTCAAGGGAGACAAAATAGGCAGAGAGAAAATGCAGGAGCTGGAATTCTTTGAGTGATTGGGTATTACGATTCTAATTTGAGGAGTTACTTTTCTCTATAGTGGAGAGAGAATATTCACCACTCTGTAGTGAAATTGACCCCAAGGTAAAGAAGAGTTGGGGAAGGAGTGAGGGAGATGCAGTCAGTGACTTAAATGGAACCTGCTTACAGGCTGATGAAGGGTATACTCTTTGCCTCTGCTGGCTGCAGTGCAGTGTGTAGTTAAGTGCAATCTTCAGTGCTTTGACACAAAATTGTCCATTTGGAATTTAAAGATATATGCATATCACCTTCAGGGTCATCTAATCCAATTTTTCTGAAACCTAGCTGGCATCAGAATCAGTTGGATAATCAAAATAAAACAGCTAGGCCACTGTGGGTGACTACAGGCCTAGCTACTCAGGAGGCTGAGAAGTGGTGCTTGAGGCCAGCCTGAGCAATGTAAGGAGGTGCTGAGTCAAAAAAGCAGAGCCTATGCCGGGTGTGGTGGTGCATTTCTGTAATCCCAGCACTTGGAGGCTGAAGCAGGATGGTCACTGAAAGTTCAAGGCCATTCTGAGCTACACAGTAAGTTCAACGCCAGCCTAAATTACATAGGAAAACCTGTCTTTAAAAGCCTTAAAAAAAATAAAAAATAAAAAGCAGAACTACAAATGCCTGGACCCATCCTCAGTAGTTCTGAGGTGGGACCTGTGTATATGTTTTTTTTTTAAAGTTTCCCTAGGGCTCAGGGTATATATAGTACATTGTTAGAGAGTTTTTATATTATTCATGAGGCCCTGGGTTCAAAAACAAAACAAAAAAGCCTCCCAGGTGATGCTCATGGCTTGAAAACAGTTGTAAGTGAGGTTTCACATTTAGTTTAACAGGCTCATGAGGATGTTTGTTTTCCTTTATGTTTTTTCCTCTTTCTCTTTTCCTTTCCTTACGTGTCTATTTGAATGAAAGTTTCTATTTCAAATTTTATAGTGCCTTGAGCCCTAAAGTGTGTGTGTGTGGGGGGGTGACCTTTTAGGTAGTAAGTAGTTCTATGTAATTCTGCTTTTGAAGTTTTTTAAGCAGTGGGACTCCCTAACACTTGGAAGAGTTGATTTCTTTTTCCCCCCTCAGTAGCAGGAATTGAACTCAGGACCTTGTGCTTGCCAGGCAAAGTGTGGCACTACTGAGCTACATCTCCGGCCCAAGAGTTGACTTTTTGGTGGAAGTAGTACAAAACATGACATGTCTCTGTCTTTGTGTCTCTCTCTCCTGCTTCCCTCCCTCCCTTTCTCTCTGTCACTGGGGATAGAACCTGTGGCTTTTGTACTGAGAGAGCTACATCCCTAGCTCTTATTTTATTTTGTATTTTTTGGCACTGGGGATTGAACTCAGAACTTTGCACTTGTGAGGCAGGTGGCAGCACCACTGAGCTAAATCCCTGGCCCCCTTATTTTAAATCTTAAAATGCTCTTTTTTTTCTTTTTTTGGTACGGGGATCAAACTTGGGACCTTACGCTTGTGAGGCAGGCAGTGGTACCATGAACTGAGCCTCTAGGTGGCTTTTTAAAAAATTGGGTATTGAATTTAGGTCCCTCACACTGGCTACATTTCCAGCCCTTTATTTATTTGTTTGTTTGTTTATTTATTTATTTTATTTTATTTTTCCTTTTTTTGGTACCGGGGATTGAACTTGGGACCTTGCACTTGAGAGGCAGGTGGAGGAACCACTGGGCTAAATCCCTGGCCCAACCCTTTAGGCTGCTGTCCTACTAAGTTGCCCAGGCGGGGCTTAAACTAGTGATCCTCCTGCTTCAGCCTCCCACAGTACTGGGAATACAGGTCTGTGGTACTGTGCCCAGCTCTAGCAGGTAGAGCTGAATTTTTTGGGATTGAACCATGTCGGAGGGATGAGTCATGTATTGAGTTAAGGTACTGACTGACTGGCTACATGAATGAGTAAATTTATTTGCAGTTCCAGGGAATCAAACACAGGGTCTGGTGCATGCCAGGCAAGCACCCCTCTCCCCAAGTCCTCTTTCACCTCTTTGAGGGTGGTGTATTTGTCCCCCTGCCAGCAGTGTTGGAGCTCAGACTCAGGGCCTTGTGTACCGTAACCTCTGCTTTTCTTACTGTGATAAGCTATAATTTACCTTTTTAACCATTTTAGGTATACAGTTCAGTGGCATTAGTTATGTTCACATCCTTGTTCAGCCATCTTCACCATCTGTCTGCAGAATCTTTTCATCTTCACAAACTGAAATTCTGTCATGAAGCAGTAACTCCTCTGTCTCCCTCCCTGATAGCTTATAAGTTTTGACTGATGTATATGTAGTTTTTGTTTTCATGTGTTTTGGAGAGTGGTGATTGTTGGTGGTTCTTTTTTGTTTGTTTGTTTGTTTTGTTTTTTTTTTTGTTTGAGGCAGGGTCTCATTATGTACTTGAGACTGACCTGGAACTCACTATGTAGCCCAGGCTGGTCTCAAACTCACAGAGATACTCCTGCCTCAGCCTCCCAGCCTCCTGAGTGCTGGGTTACAGGCATGCGTCGCCATGCCTGGCTTGGTGGTTCATTTTTAAGAATGAGCACTAAGGAGCTGTGGGTGGAGCTCAGCCTGTATTTAGTACACATGAGTCCCTGGGTTCAGTCCTGGCACCAAAAAAATCAAATGAAACAAATGATCACAAAAAAACTGCTTTTAAACACATGGTAGGGTGCCAGCTTTAGGGTGCCCAATGTGGTGGGCCTTGTTGGGTCATTTTGTGGTGGATTTTCTATCTTTATGGATTTTTCTAGTGGACTAATCATTCTGCAGAAGAGAGTCTTCTAGTCATCTAGTTGGATAAAGCAGACTGCTGGAGGTCTGGGAGATGAGTGGGAAAAGGTGTTGTTAGCCTCAAAAACACTGTGCAATTCCGTTTTCCAATTATGCCTGGATCCCTGTCCGCAGACGTTTCTTTCTTTACCCTTTTTGCTTTACCCTTTCTGCCTGTCAAACTTTGTCTTAAGGAGGGGAAGAGCAGTGGTATTGAGGAGTGAAGGAAGGGTGTCATTATTTCTTAGGGTGAACTGCAGAGTAATCCTTGAGGCCTGGCAGATGTCACTGTCTTTTCTCTTTACCCCCACTCCCACCCAGGTGTACACTCGGGGACCACTACTGTGGAAGCTGAGTGAGAAGGTCACTGGAAACTTATGCTGTAGCTCACCCCTGCCCACAGCTGCACAACGTGCCTGGCTATCCTGGTGGATTCACTCCAGCAAATAAAGTTTCGCTTATTTACCAAGGTAGGAGAAGACTTGGGGAGTCCGACTGGTGCTTATTCAGAATTTTTTTGTTTTGTTTTGTTTTTTTTCCTGGTACAGGGAATCGAACTCGGGACCTTACACTTGCAAGGCAGGCACGGTGCCACTGAGCTAAATCCCTGGCCCTCAGAGTTTTGTTTGTTTGTTTGTTTTAAATAAGGTACTGAGAACTGAATTCGGGTCATTTACACAGTGCTACATTCCCAGCCCTTTTTAAAATTAATTAATTAATTAATTGATTGATTGATTGACTTTGAAACATGAGCTTGCTAAGTTGTCCAAGCTCAAACTTGTGATCCTCCAGAATGCTGGAATGATTTGTGTGCCTGTTTTTTTCAGACTTTCTCAACCAGTCCCTCATCATCCAGCTCTGCCCATACTCTCACCCTTATAGGTATCTGTGGCCTCCAATTTCAAGCCTCTAGGAGGTCTTATAGCTTGCTTCTTGGTCTCCTGGACTATTGGCTTAGAGTTAACTTCCCTTCAGAATACTCTCTGTCACTTTGAGCACACTTATTCCATTATTCTTGGGGTGTGTGGTCTTTTTTTTTTTTTTTTGGTACTGGGGATTGAATTTGGGACCTTGTGCTTAGCTAAATCCCTGGCCCCTTGGGG